CCTGGAATGTGCTTTTCAGTCTCATGACAGATTATGAATATTATTTTGGGTCATTGTAGAAGGGTCTGACTGCTTGGGAACTATTTATTCAGGAATTACATATAATTTTCCTGGTGCCTTATAAAAAGTGGCAGAGCCTGGGCATTGGAGTGCATGAGGTTCTACTCTCCTGCTGACAAGACCAAGCAGAATCAAAATCACATTTCCATCATTGCCCATGACAATAGAAACTCATTTCCTGCAGATGGGTTGCAATGAAACTTGAGAAAAACAAACAAACAAATCACTCACAAACACACAGACAAAAATATTGTGACACCTGTCTACATATCTACAGGAACTTTTGACATTCCATCTTACATTCAGAGGCATCAATATGGAGTTAAATCTCCCTTTGCAGCTATAATAGCTGCCACTCTTCTGGGAAGACTTTCCACAAGATTTTGGAGCATGTCTGTGGGAATTTTTGCCCATTCCTCCAGAAGAGCATTTGTAAGGTCAGGCATTAACGTTGGACGTGACAGCTTGGCTCACAACCTCCGTTCTAGTTCATCCCAAGGGATGTTGATTGGGCTGAGATCAGGGCTCTGTGTAGACCAATCTTCCACACCAAACTCACCCAACCATATTTTTATGGACCTTGTTTTGTGCAATGGGGCACATTCATGTTGGAACAGAAAATGGCTTTCCTCAAAAGTTGGAAGCATAAAATTAGACCAGAGGTGCACCAATCCATACCTATTAGACAGTTCAGGTATTGGCCATATGTGACCTCATCCATGTCTGATACTTTAGTTTCAGTAGTCTTGTTCAATCGATTCGTATAATCAATTGCATGACGACAGCTCTCTCATTTCAGATGTGATGCTGCGGCATTCTAACTGAACAGTAATACTGCCACTCAGTGGGTGTGAGGGCAGTGATTTCCGCCTGCCGTGACGTCATGTGCAAACCCTTTGCAGTAGGAGGAGCACAAGAAAATCACATAAAAGCGTGACGGTTTGGAAGTGTTTTACACTTTTAACAACAACAACTAGCAGCATAGCCATTTGCAATCCTTGTAAAAACAAAGCTTTGAGATGCTGAAATAGCATTTTGTGGAAAATCTCACCAAACGAACCGCATGCAATTGTGCAACCCGAGTAATATGCAAAAAAGCAATGGATGATTTGAGTGTCGCTAGCTTGGGCTGTTCTATGCACCTGCTGCAGCTTGTCGCAATGAAGTGTAAGTGACGCTGCTGCCACTAGGAGACAAATTGTAGGGCATTTTAAGCATTCGCCACCTGTGTACCCTCTCTTGGAAGATATTCAAATTGAACTGCAAATGCCTCAAAAATGCTTTAAACAAGATGTACAAACGAGCTGGACAGTACATTATGTATGTTTCTAGTAGCCTAAAGATTTTTTGGCCTACATTTTTTCATTTGCATTTACCATTTAAAATATTAAAAGTATGAATATTCTTATACAAGTTAGTTCCAGCCATGAAATGTGATTAGGCGTTAGAGTATAACCACACTCAGGCATTTCACATTAGCTGCATCAATCTACGTTGCAGGTGTATCTTAAAACCATTACACATGCTTCATTTCCACCAACACGGAGCCAGTGCTGAGCTGGATCTTACTTGGGGCATTTTGAGAACCATTCAAAAATGAATGTAGGTGGAAGTGAGAGTAAAGTACAGGTTCATATGTATTCTGTTTTGTTGGGTTTATTTATTTATTAAGTTTTTAATAAGCTGCCGAACCGAAAAAAAAAAGTTGAGTATGACTGTTTGCTCTCTGCCTCTACTGCCTGTATCCACTTTTGTCTCCTTAAAGGCTCCCCCGTCTGTGTGTGTGTGTGTGTGTGTGTGTGTGTGTTTGTGTGTGTGTTGTCTATTCCTTCTTCTCACTCGTTGTTTTACCACTGTCCTTTTAAGGATTGTGTAATAAAAGTGTCTGCTAATAACTGAACTTTACTGTCCGCCTCATGATCTCTTCACCACTCGAGCGCCACAATATTTTATTTATTAGACCTGCGGCATGGTTTTAAATTACAACTGCAAGTTATTCCGCTAATAAGCTGGCTAGTCGTTTCACTGCCAACACCGGCGATATTAGACAAACTATATTGGTTATAGACTAAATATTCCGGGGTGGCATGGTGGTGCAGTGGTTAGCACTGTTGCCTCGCACCTCTGGGACCTGGGTTCGAGTCTCCGCCTGGGTCGCATGTGTGTGGCGTTTGCATGTTCTCCCCGTGTTGTCGTGGGGTTTCCTCCGGGTACTCTGGTTTCCCCCCACAGTCCAAAGACATGCTGAGGCTAATTGGCGTTGCTTAATTACCCTTAGGTGTGCATGTGTGAGTGACTGGTGTGCGAGTGTGTCCTGCGATGGGCTGGCCCCCCATCCAGGGTTGTTCCCTGCCTCGTGCCCGTTGCTTCCGGGATAGGCTCCAGACCCCCTGTGACCCAATATAGGATAAGCGGGTTGGACGATGGATGGATGGACTAAATATTCCGGGTATGCAGAAGGTTTGGACACGACAGCCAGTCCCACTTTTGCTGATGTTACGGGAAGATTTGTTTTTTGCATAAATGTTTAAACAAATAAAACATGCTGTATCTTATTAGTGTTACCTTATAAATGCTACTTGATATATAAATGCAACAACATACTCAAACTCATGCGGTTGTATTCCAATATATTACAGCTGTGATTATCTTCGGCCAAATAAAATATTAAAGTAAAACGAATCTGGGTTCTTGAATCAGAATCTGTATCATAGTTGTGTATCGGAATTGGATCAGAAGTGAAAAAATGTGCATAGGTCAGTTTAGTGCTGGCCGATAAAACGATCTCGATTTTTTAATCGATAAAAAATGAGGACGATCATGATGATACACAGACTATAAAACTCGATCAACCAAGTTTGCTCCGTTTCAGAGAATGCGCTGAGACAGACAACTCGATGGCCTATCGAGCAGAGGTTTACTGAACGCCAGCACAACAGCCAATCACCGACGACGTTGTAATTTTGCCCATCCTCCCTTAGAGACGGAATGGGTGCGTTCGACTTGGGCTTAGGTCTGCCTGCAGCTGATGTGATGTGGAGCGCGATCTTCCGGCGGCTGCAGGGGTGGAGTATAAGCTCTAGGTCAGTTTGATGGATGAACCCAGATTCGTCCATCAAACTGCCATACAGAGAAGCGTGAACATGTTTTCACTTCATGAGAGCACAGTGGTGGTGTGCTTCAGGTGCCACTCCATTCAGTGCTTGGCGATGCCGAGGCTCTCACAGCACTCAGCGATGTGGTCGGCCACTTCGGGGTAGTTTGTTGTCCCTAAATGCTTCCACTTTGCAGTTACACTTACAGTTGACCGTGGAATATCTAGCAGATAAGAAATTGAATTCACTGAGCTCGTCAGAATGACCCGTTCTCTCACAATAGCAAACCTGACTACAGGGGGTGCTCGGGTTACGACACAGTTCCGTTCCTACGACAGTGACGTAACCCAAAATTTTGGTGCAAGTCGAAAGTTCTCTCTCTGGTCTCTTTACAATGTGTAAGTTCACTTCCATCGTGACGGCTTTCCTTCTCTGCGTATTCTTCCGCCATGTGCAAACTAGCTTGCCCATGTAGTCCATAAGTATGATGCTAACGGTGGAAGCTGAAACACTCACGTCTCAGTTTTTAAGGGAGTGAGCATCGTAAACTCAAAACATAGTGACCCGAGGACCTCCAGTATATGGCTAGGTGCTTGATTTTATACACCCGTGGCAATGGGTCCGAGTGGAACATCTGAGTTCAATAATTAAGAGCTGTGTCCCAATATTTTTGTCCATGTAGTGTGTGTGAGTGTGTATAAAATAATTTTTTAAATATAAAAAGGCCTGCTTTTAGCTGTAATTTTGTTCGGCTATAACGGACATGCAGGCTATCAATCACACAAAAAAAGAACAAGAAGTTTAAGTTCATTGTTGCTTTGGAGGATTTTGGCCTCTGCAATCACACTCTGTAGGTAAAGTGCACCGCTGAGCCTCTGACAAGGTTACAAGCAAATGAAATGGTGACTATGGTAACAAGAATGCAAACTGTGCTGTGCTAAGCTCCACAAGTGCTAGTCTAGACCCATTAATTCCACAGCTCCAACCACTGCTGCCGTCACACTGGGATGACCTCACAATTAAACAAAAAAAGGGGGGGGGGGACACAGATGGTAAAACACGTCAAATCAGTAGCACTGCTCCTGGGATCTCTGTGACATTGGGAGACCATTAGAGCCGGTTCCGATGTCGATATCAAGCGCGTCCACACCGTATCTGACTGATCCACTTGGCAGATCCCCACCCCCTGTTTGGTTTATGTGGAATCACCCTAATAACTTCCTTAATCAACAAATAACAGACATATAGCTATGTAAGGTCTTATAAGGTCAGAAATGTTTACTTATCCAAGTAGCAACTATTCATGTGATTATACCTTTAATACTTCATTCAAAGTCCATAAATAAAATTATTATAGAAACTGAGGAGACCAGCGAGATATGAACAATGGTAAGATTATAATCAGGACTATCCTGTGACAAAGAAACCGCACAGACTGCCTGAAACGATGGACGTCAGTTTCTAGAATCGGCTGACACGTCCCACTTTATGGACAGATGCGAGTGACTGCCTAACAAAAACAGAAATAAAGAGTCTCAAAATTTGCTAATTAATTCCATCTTACACTTCCTGCTACTCCTACGGGTTGCTGCATCACCAGAACTCCACACACTTGACAATGCAGTTATGAGTATGGTGGGCATCTGCCCAGCAGACATGATGCTGTGCTATAAATCCATTCCCAAGGAGAGCCTACATGATCCAAGGGGACAGCTACACAGCGCCACCTCTGTGGTACAAGTGCACTGCAATTTTTCTAATTGTTCAACATCTCTGAAATTCCCTGATACCCCATTCTCCTAAAAACAAAATGAAGACAACACGGCCCTTTACTCAAATTCAGGATTAAATTTATAGACAAGACGCAGACAGACAATCTTATCATATAAAACACATAAACAGCATATGCTCACATACAAAGAGAGAACTGAATTGAAAACAAGTATAATTGCCAATCTGTCATTTTAAACAGTTTAATTTATTGAATTTTAAATTAATGAGCTTTAGAGAACACAGAAATGGATTAGAGCAGTTCAGAGAGTAATTCTACACAGCAAGCACTAGTTCAGCTGCATTTCAGCAATCTGAAATAACAGACTGCAAGCACATTGACACCTATCTGAACCAAGGCCTGTAAAATAAAGTTTAGTTAAAAACCAATTCAGTCAATGATTATGTACTGCATACATGCAGTACATAATATGGCAATGGTATATAAAAAGAGCTACCTAGCAACCAAAACATTAAACTATGATATATTATTTTTATAGTTAACTAGAAACTCTCCAAGTCGATATACTGTGGTGATTTTCCCCCCATAGATAGATATGGATGGTGTAATAGCATGGTATGAATGAGGAGAAAGAGCAAAAAATTTGAGGGAAGAACAGACCTTTTTCTTAACGTCTGAGGATTTCAGATGCAAAGATCATTCTTCCAGTACATTAAAGGAAGAACCTTCATGAGCTAATCATTTGGAGTTTGATGAGATGGACCTCAACTGAAACTAGTAGCATACACTTAACTTCTCATTAGGAAAACATTGATCACCAGCAAATCCCTGCATATCAAAAAACAGTGCATGCTGAAGGGAACATAAAAATAAAATCAGCACATTTCATACCATACCAGTGTCCTGGTGAGCCATCCTCACAGCCTCCAAGCACATCCTGCACGTATTACCTCTGGGGGTGCAAATTAAGGGGTCAAGTACCTACTGTGCTCAATCCCTACATATATATTTTAGGCTTGTCGTCAGAGAGGCAAACACGCTGGTTCCCGGAAACCCCGTTATCATCAGAGCCAGACACCAGAGCACACTGAGTGTTTAACAAATACCGAGAGCCAGTGGGCTCCAGTACAGAGCAAACATCCGCCACCATTTTGCCGTTCTTCTGTGTGGCCTTGGGAAGTCCAGTGGCATTTTTTGTGGACTTCATTGCCTTTTTTTGACATAACTCCTATGCACACTTGTCAGACACGTTAACACTTTGTGGCATTACACAGTCGGCTAAAGCCCTGAACAAATGTGATACTAATTAAGTTCTTTTGCAGTTATTTTGTATAAACATTATACAAAAAAGTTTAAAAATTGGCTTTGTTCCAAATAAGGGTTTCCCAAAGTAAACTATAATACAAAGCATACATTTTACTCTATTTTCAAATTGTTAAAGAAAACCTTTAACAGCTTTTCACAAAATGAACTAAATGGGAGTAACCTATTCACGATTCTGAGTAAAACATGTCAAAGCAAAAATTTGTCAAAACATGTCATGGCTGCATTAAGCGTATCAACCTCTTGCATTCCCATGCGTGTCAGCAGTCGGAGCCATTATTTCAGTGGTAGGGAAAGTTCTTCCTTTCTTCATGGAATGTCACATAACCAAGAAGCAGACAATCACCTTTTCAGATTAGGTAAAAGTTTTGCATATAAACAAGATGGTAGAAGCCAGGCCAGTTACATGCCTTCAGGACAGTGAGACAATACAGAACTTAGGTTTATTGATCTGTACTTCACAAAGTGACCGTTTTGCTTATGTGGCATGATAGGCTCTCAGTCTTCAAGCGAACCTGGGGTGGCCAAGAAAGAAAGAAAAACTCTTGTGACACCAGAATTCACGCACACGAAACAAGGAACACTAGAAACACCAGAATGTGCTCAAGCAGAACACAGAACACTGGCAAAACTATAAACACTGACAGCATCTGAAGCGCTGACACAGAAGAGGAGACGCAAGCAAATTGGAACGCACACCATGCAAATTCCTGAGGCTAATGCTGGTTCACTTTCCGTCAATCAGACAAAATGGCGACAGGAAAACAATCACATTTTTACACACTGTACAGATGACTGTCTGTGTCAGTTATGTACAATTGCTAGTGATTTTTGGCTTTCCAGTTCTTGTAATGGATAGGCCTTTCTAAGAGAACCGTTTATTCAGCAAAAGAAACAAAGCTACCCACAGTGGTCCCAGAATGAAAATGTTGAGCTTAGCCCGAATCAATTACGTCCACTGGGTTTCCCGTTTGATCCTTTTACTGGCAGAAAGTCTCTTGCGTCTCCTTCTCATCGAGGACTTCTTTCAAGACTATTGTAATTTGATTCTTGTTTATTTTCACACCACTGATCAGTCTCAATGCACTCGTCTAATTAAACGGAATCCCCCTATAGGTTCAAACAGCTTACAGGCCTATAGGGAGCCCAGACGGCAGGATTTCCTTGCATTCTGGGTAACGCTTGAGGAACACACTCAAGGCAGACAATACTGTATTGGGAAATCAATTGCATGTTAAATGACGCTATTAAAAACAAAAATGCTAGTAACAACAGTAACCAGTCATAATGATCAGAGTGTTCTGTACCAGTGACCGGAGACTGGTATAGTTGATGTGCCTGCTCCCAAACTGACCTTGTACAGTCTTTCTGTTGTTTCTCTTGATGGGCCTAAATCATTTTCCATGCATTTGGTTCCCCATTTGATTTTCAGTAAGCCAAAACAAAATCTCAGTTCCTCCAACGAGAGAGCAGAATTTCTCGCAGTGACACAGTTCAACCTTACTCACCTCTGTTCAGCCAGAGCCTGACTCTAATTAGGTTGGGGGGAAAGCGTACTTGTGGAGGTGTCTGAAAACACATGAAAGCATCACACTAGCGCTAATCGCAGCTCACAGCTAAGGCTATGTTCACACCACGACTTTCAAAGTCATCAGATCGCTATACCATTCACACTACACAACTTGTTTTGTGATCAGGAATCATTAGGTCGTTTTGGTTTACACACTACATGACTAATCGATGACGGGGGGGGTCAAACACCCCAGGATCTTTTACCAGGAGGAATCACTGACTAGCCTGTCTGGTCTTCAAACTAGGTTTTGTTACAAAATTACGTGCAAGAATGACAAATTGTCAAAACACTTTAAATGAGAACACATATGCTGAACATTTACAAATACACTGCCCGGCCAAAAAAAAAGTCACCATTTGAATTTATATCAGCAAATACTTAGGAGCCAATGACTGGATCATTATTACAGCTCAGCAACGTTATGCAGCAATAAAGTGAAGTCAGCTGAGTACCTGAATCTACTGAATGGCCAGGTTACACCTCCATCCATCATCAATGGATTTTTTTCTTCCCTGTTGGCATGGGCATATTCCAGGACAAGAATGCCAAGATTCATTGGGTTCGAATTGTCAAAGAGTGGTTCAGGAAGCATGAGGAATCATTTTCACGCATGACTTGGTCACCACAGAGTTGTGACCTTAGCCTCATTTAAGGTCTTTGGGATGTGCTGAAGCAGGCTTTATGGAGGTTCAACTCACTTGTCAATACAGGATCTTGGTGAGAAATAAATGCAAATCTGGATGAAAATAAAGGGTGAGATATTGCATGAGCTTATGGAAACAACGCCAGGACAAATGTGCGCCATAATCAAAGCTAAAGGTGGTCCAACTAAAAATTCAAATGGAGACTTTTTTTTTGGCCGGGCAGTGTATGTGGCAAATTAACCCTTGTATACGCAGAAGTTTCCAGAAACAGTATAACATACCTTGGCTCTTTAGTGGCCCGGCATATAACATAGCACTAAGAACAATTTCTAAACAAACAGAACTATTTGCACCTTTTTTAAACTCCCACAGGTTGCACCTCACCCCGTGTCTGCTTTCATTGGCTGTAGCTCATCACCTCACTCATTGCCAGTTGCAACACATTTCAGGATTCGGAGTCAGACCAGATATTTTAACCTGCTAGAATCTGACCATCACTGTCAGGTCATGTACTTGAGCAATTTACACATTTGCCGCCACCGATCAAATACTGATATGCCTCCAGACTGACGTTTTGTCGGAGATCTCCGACAAAAAAAACAGGGTCAAAATTGTGTAATATGATCTTAGCATAACCAAGTCGCAGCAGATAAAGTGGTCAGCTCCAACTACACCAACCCATAGTGTACAATGGTCTCTGGGCTAGTCTCTCATCTCCTCCCTCCTGCACCTCCTGAGAGGCTGACAGCTCCCCTCCTCCCTCCATTTCTCAGCAATGAACCAAACGGCCGACCACTAAGCGAAGCCGGTGCACCTGGGCATCTCTAATCTATATTGCTGCTAATGACTTGCAGCCTGCTTATGGTCTATGCATTCTCAAGCTGGCTGCACCCTCCTACACCCTATTGACTCACACGGGTCACCGCCTTCTCTCTCTGACCTCACTCTACTGAGGGGGCTGCTCACATGCTCTTACCATCCTGCACCTAATACACACGCACGCACGCACGCACACCAGGGCTGTGGAGTCGGAGTCGGAGTCGAGGAGTCGGAGTCGGAGACAATTTTGGGTACCTGGAGTCGGAGTCGGCAAAAAGTTAACCGACTCCGACTCCCACTAAATTTAAATGGAAATTAAAGAAGTTGAAATGTCCCAATTCACAAACAGTCATAATGAACTACTTCTCTGCTGTAAGAATAAAGC